AAAAAAAAAAAAAAATTTATTCTTATGAAATGATAGAGAATCTTTATCGATTGTAATGACACCAAAAACACGAAATTTGATGGAAAACTGACGGAATTACGCTCTCGCGAAGTTAGCGACCTCTGTGATATTTACAAATCGGCGATTTCGCCCACTTGAGCCCTATTTTCGGCTAATTCCATTGTTCCAGTCGACCAAACTCATAGCTTTTTCTTTAGAACTCCATTTTTTCTATCGATTGGGTACAAGAAACTGCCCATTTACCGATTTCAACTACCCAATAACGTGGTCAGAAATTTGCAATTTGGCTAATTTCACAAAAATTAAAAAATATGACAATTTCAAAATAAGGTCCAGAATGAACAATGCAAACACTCCTGGCTCTAAAATAGTATTTTCTTTGTTCATCAGTCATGTCTCCAAGCCCCTCTGATATTACTCTTGCTTTCTATTTTGAATTTTTATTCAAACAAAAAATAGAAGATTTACTGTTATGCAGACTACTGCAATACTGTAATAATTGTATAAATAACATCAACCCATTCATGACTACATATTAGAATGGCTAGTTGGACATTTATTGGACAATGACATCATTTGTTTACTTTTGAACATCGGCAAAAATCAAACATTTCCCCTACTTTGAGCTCCATTTCCAGGCTCTTTTTATAGTAAAATCAATCAAAATCACCTCTATCTCTATAATATGTTTTCCATTCTATCAAATGAGACCAAGAAAACGAGAATACAACCATAAACACTATACAAAAATAGACCACAAAGTCGGCATTTTAATTAAAAAAAAAACGGTCCGAGTTTTTTTTTCTCATTATGCACTGCATGCTCCAGGATTTTTTTTATATGGTGCACATTGACCACACAGACTCATTCTCTCACATGTGGGCCTACCAGCTTTCTCCTGCTTGATTTGAAGCCGCTAGAATTTACGAGTATGTATACGTCGAACACGGTACCTCGTAAGACGTATATATACGGCCTCGACAGTCAAAGGGTTAAAGGTATAGTATCACAAAAAAAAAAAAATGAAAAAAAAAAATGAAATCATAATATGTAGTAGTGTATGTCGCTTGGAAAGTTTTAATTATTATTAAAAATGTGAAAAAATCTTGAAGTGCCCATTAGTCATCCAACAGGTATGCACAAGTGTGTTAAATAACAAAAAAAAGGCACAATACCGTGACTGGAACAATACACAAATAACCCACACACAGAAGAGAGGAGCTTACGACGATGTTACGGTCCGACTTGGACCATTTACAAAGTCACACGGTGTGACTTTGTAAATGGTCCAAGTCAGACCGAAATGTCGTCATAAGCTCCTCTCTTCTATGTGCGGGTTATTTATGTACAAGTGTGTTAAATAGGAGTGGAGGCAAGTGGGTTTTATTATTTGATGTGTTGTTGGAGTGTGAGCATGGTAACAATTATGAAGGGATTCAGGGGAAACTGGTTAGCCAAATTTGAGTCCCAGGGGTGGGAGGTACAGTGCCTGTACTCTAAAGAGGTGGGGATACTGCAGTTTGGAGGGGGCATCTGAACTGGTATCGGCATGCCTCTCGCAAGACAGCGATAGTAAAATTTTTTTTTCTTTATTGGGGGTCACCTACCTCAGTGGGAGACAGCTAGTGTTAAAAAAAAAAACACACACACCACCCATACACCCCCCCACACACAACCCCATACACACACAGACAGGATGTTCCAAACAGGGGACACAGAAACAAGGGGTCACAATTGGAAGCTGAAGACCCAGATAAGTCAAAGGGATGTTAGGAAGCATTTCTTCAGTCACAGAGTAGTCAGGAAGTGGAATAGCCTAGCAAGTGAGGTAGTGGAGGCAGGAATGATACATAGCTTTAAGATGAGGTATGATAAAGCACATGGAGCAGGGAGAGAGAGGACCTAGTAGCACTCAGTGAAGAGGTGGGGCCAGGAGCTGAGTCTTGACCCCTGCAACCACAATTAGGCGAGTACGCAAAAGGTAAGTTGTTACTTGAATTCAACCCCAGGAAATGCAAGGTTGTGAAAACTGAGGAAGGGGGTCAGAAGACCAGACTTGGGGGACAGAGGCTGCAGACCTTATCCAAAGAGGACCTGGGAGTAAGCACAGTGCCTACCATATTGCCAGGGACTTGCATCAACCAAATAACCTCTAGAGTGTATGCTCCACTGGCAACTCAAGAGTGGCCTTCAGGAATCTCAACAGAGTCACATGTCAGGCCAACCTTTGAGTATGCAGAACCAGAATGGAAACCACACCTTAGGAAACATACTAAGAAACTGAAGTACAGAAGTATGCAATGAGACTAGTTCCAGAGCTAAAGGGTACGAGCTATGAAGAATGGATGAAGGAATCAAGCCTAGTGACCCTGGAGGACAGGACCAATGGGGACCTAACATACCAAATACTCAAGAGGAACTGATAAAGCAGACAGGGATAGGCTGTGTTAAAGGTGGGAAACAGGTACGTGAGGGGCACAGCTGGAAATTTAAGACACAGATAAGTCACAGGGATGTCAGGAAATATTTGTCTCGGGTGGTCAGTATGTGAAATGACCTCAATGAAAAAGTGGTGGAGGTTGACTTCACATATAGTTTTAAGAATAGGCTTGACAAGGCTTGTGAAGCTACGAGAGGGCAAATCCAGCAAACGTTGAGAAGCAGGGCTAAGGTTCGACCCTTATAACCACACAGAGCAAGCACGCATACAAATTTATACACACACACACATACGTATGTACACATACACATACCATACTTCCATACACCCTCCACACACACACACACATGAGCGCACGCATGTATATATACACGCACACACTAGCACATTCATTCACATGTGAACAGCATTGTGAGTAGGCATGCACTTACAAATGAGCTTATACACTGGCATACATGCACAAAATTTAAATGTTAACCACTTTGTTGTCAACTGCTGGATATTTTTTATGTATTGTAACCTTAGTCTAATTTGGAAAAGTCTTTCTACTAAATTGTAATTTTTAACAAAAATACAAAATTTCTTACTCCTCTCATGCATGTTTCTAGATACATTTTGCAGTAGATACTCTAATATATTATGTACATATTTAAAATGTACACTGCAACATATCGTATATATCCTGAGCTGCATAACCCTGGATACATTCTCAAGATCAAATATCCCATTGCAAAAAGTGATAGAAAAAAAAAAAAAAAAAAAAAAAAAAAAAAAAAAAAAAATAATGATGTCAATGCACAAGCCTCCTGACCACGGTTCATGCCATTCACTAGAGGTTTGACATGCATGACTCATTAACAGCATGGGCAAATCCTGAGTGAAAAAATGATAACTACTGATTACAGTTGCCCTTGTATAGTTTTCAACAGCTTTGATTGTTATTGCATTATACCAAAGATATACTATATGTTCAAATGATGGCTGGACATTTTCCTGGCTAACACTTTGATGCAGATTTTGCATAACTCTCACTAAGTATGTTCTCCTTGAGGAAAAAAACTGTTTAAAAATAAAGCTAATTTCAATCCTTGATTAAATAGAGTAAGCAATGGAAGAAGGTATATTTATTATACAATACGATTTCTGATAAATTAAATAACATCAACAATAGAGAGAATTAGTAGCGTTTATTGCACGCAAAATAATTTAACATCAGAAATTATCACATGAAATAATATTTTGTTCAAATTCACTACTGGTAGCGCATGAAATAACTGTATTAGTACTGTAATAGATCAGGATATACACACTAATGAATATCCATTCTGAAAATGAGGAGCCTTAAAAATACAAAATTTATATAAACAAATTGTCCAAAACAAAACAAAATGAAAAATCACTTCATTTTGATTCCACACTATTAGCTTTTGTTTGGACAAAGAATATGCTCTATTTTTAATAAATCCAAACTAAATTACAGTATATGCCAAAGAAACACATTAATTAAAGTCTCATGGCACACATCATTAGAATCTTTTATTCTTTCTCAACTGCATTATCTGTTACCTTTACCTTTGATGAGTTCTGAGTTTTTTTCTACTTTCAGAGCCTGGCCTATGGCCAGGCCAGGCTGAAATACTTTAATCATCTGGTTCCAATTCCATCACTTTTGCCTATCCTACCTAAAGAAGAAATAATTCTTAAGCTTAAACTCAAAAAGCCTTTAACTGTATCATCAGACTTGTTAAAATAAATGACAATACATTTTACAAATTAAAACCGACTGCCTCAGATTTAAGATAAACATTTAGTAATTCCAATGCAGTCATGGCTGTTTTGAATTATGGGATTGCTTTGTAAGTTCTTTTATGACCAAGTTCTCAGTAATCAACCGCTTTCTGATTATAACCACTGAGAGGTCAGTTTGATAGCTTTCTGATTACTTGAGATATTACAAGAAACCTTGTCTCCAAGATCTTCATGATGATGTTTTCATGTACTGTACTATCTATTCCCAATTATATGGTTCTCACCATTACAGTAACAAATTTTTGCTGATGAAATTAGTTACAATAATTTACCCTCACACAGATATAAAAATTGTACTCAGATAATGTGTCAAGACTTTGCTAATAAGCTTCGTTCCTATATAGCTGTCAAGTATCACATTTACTAAAACAGTTAAAAGAATGGGCTTCTGATATGAAGCTTTATCCTTTGAAACATGATAACACATTACCTTTTTTTTTTTTTGCCTCTAACACCACCTACACAAGTGATAAATTTAATCTGTAATTGTGATTCAATGTTCCAGTATCAGGGAAAACTCCTGTAACTGTTATTGCAATGAATTGTGTAATGGTTTAAAATAAATAAAAAATGATTGATGACTTGTCATTATCTATTTTGAAGGTATGAGGTCAAGTGTGAGAAGGGTATATAGGAATAGTAACTACAGCAATAGAAGTCCAACATGTTAGCAAGGGCTACAACTGGAGTGTTTTTGCCTTCCACTCAAACTGTCCATATCTGCAGACCCTCAGTCCCCCGATACTTCCTCTTCACCTACAGCCATGTCTTCCCCTCGACTTGCCAAAATTTTATTTCGATCCTCGTCCATCTCTTCCATTGTATTGTCCTTCACTTCTTTACTCTCCGTCTCGTCCGCATCTTTTAATTCTTCGTCCTCCTCCTCATCATCCTCATCATCATTTTGCATTAACTTTCGTGCAAGCTTTACAGCATAAAACTCATTGTAATGTTGTTTCCTTTTCATTTCAAAAATTTTTCTCTTCTCTGGAAATAACAATTCGAGTGTAAGTTCTGAAATCGTGGCAAAGTAAAACTAAATTATAATATAATTACAATATAGTGGGGAACAAGAGGGCAGGTGTAGTCTCATGGTAATCGTTTTTGGTTGGCAGCACCATATTTAGAGGTTGGAGAGGAAAGGAGAGATCTTGGTGGGAGGAGGGATAGAGGGTGGGAGGGGGTAGATGGAAGAGGAGGAAAAGGAGGTGAAAGAACAGTTGTAGAAAAAGGAAGGAAAGAAGGGTGGGAAGGTAAGTAGAGAAAATAAACAAGGGAGTGTGAGAGTATCCTGAAAACCACCAGTCTAACAGCATTTATTAATTTCAGGGCTGAGTCACGTGTACATTTTTTTTGTACCATACTAGCTGTCTCCCACTGAGGTAGGGTGATCCAAAAAGAAGAAACACTTTCATCATTTATTCACTATCTTCCCAAAAGTGTGTACACCTGTATATTTATGGACAATATGCTACTGAAAGAACTAGATTAAAAAAAAAATAGCATAACACTAAGCGTGTAAGTACCTGTGCCTGTAAGAACTGTAATCCACAACCATATAGAATCCTTTGTTTAAAAATGCAAGAGGACCACACACACACACAATAGTTAAAGCTACCCCTGAATAAAAAAAACAAATTATGTAATAAGTACATGATGAAAAAAATACAACACTTTTACAATAGGTCAAAATACTGTATAACAATTCTATTTGATTCCCCTTTATAAGGAGAAACATGAAAATAAGTCATTGTCCAACTATATTAGGTTACCTTAGGTTAATTATGTTACTTATTTAAGTACGAGTGAATTTTTTTTTTTTTCAAGTCGGCTGTCTACCACCTAGGCAGGGTGACCCAAAAAGAAAGAAAATCCGCAAAATGAAAATACTTTCATCGTCATTCAACACTTTCACCTCACTCATACATAATCACTTTTTGCAGAGGTGCCCAGATACAACAGTTTAGAAGCATATATAAAAATACCATATAAAAAGTGATCTGAAATAATAAACTCCCTATAGAATATAATATCAGGGTCCCAATATATATATATGGGAAGTCTGAATGTGTGTGGATGTTGTGCAAATGATAAGAAAGAGATGATTGTGGATGTTATGAATGAGAAGAAACTGGATGTCCTGGCTTTAAGTGAAACAAAGCTGAAGGGGGTGGGAGAGTTTCAATGGAGAGGAATAAATGGGATTAGATCAGGGGTTTCAAATAGAGTTAGAGCTACAGAAGGAGTAGCAATAATGTTGAAGGATAAGCTATGGCAGGAAAAGAGGGACTATAAATGTATTAATTCAAGGATTATGTGGACTAAAATAAAGATTGGATGTGAAAAGTGGGTTATAATAAGCGTGTATGCACCTGGAGAAGAGAGAAGTGTAGAGGAGAGAGAGATATTTTGGGAAATGTTGAGTGAATGCGTGGGGAGTTTTGAATCAAATGTGAGAGTAAGGGTGGTTGGGGATTTCAATGCTAAAGTGGGTAAAAATGTTATGGAGGGAGAAAGTAGGTAAATTTGGGGTGCCAGGGGTAAATGTAAATGGGGAGCCTTTAATTGAGCTGTGTGTAGAAAGAAATTTGGTAATAAGTAATACATATTTTATGAAAAAGAGGATAAATAAATAAAACAAGGTATGATGTAGCACATAATGAAAGTAGTTTTGTTAGATTATGTATTGGTGGATAAAAGGTTGATGGGTAGGCTCCAGGATGTACATGTTATAGAGGGGTAACTGATATATCGGATCATTATTTAGTTGTAGCTACAGTTAGAGTAAGAGGTAGATGGGAAAAGAGGAAGGTGGCAACAAGTAAGAGGGAGGTGAAAGTGTAAAAAACTAAGGGAGGAGGAAGTTCGGGTGAGATATAAGCGACTATTGGCAGAAAGGTGGGCTAGTGCAAAGATGAGTAGTGGGGGGGTTGAAGAGGTTGGAATAGTTTTAAAAATGCAGTATTAGAATGTGGGGCAGAAGTTTGTGGTTATAGGAGGGTGGGGGCAGGAGGAAAGAGGAGTGATTGGTGGAATGATGAAGTAAAGGGTGTGATAAAAGAGAAAAAGGTAGCTTACGAGAGGTTTTTTTCAAAGCAGAAGTGTTATAAGAAGAGCAGAGTATATGGAGAGTAAAAGAAAGGTGAAGAGAGTGGTGAGAGAGTGCAAAAGGAGAGCAGATGAAAGAGTTAAGTTAAGAAAGCCTAGGGAAAGTATGGATTTGTCAGTTAAAAACAGAGTAGGGGAGTTAGTAGATGGGGAGAGGGAGGTATTAGGTAGATGGCGACAATATTTTGAGGAACTTTTAAATGTTCAGGAAGAAAGGGAGGCGGTAATTTCATGCACTGGCCAGGGAGGTATACCATCTTTTAGGAGTGAAGGAGTGAAGAATGTAAGTGTGGTGGAGGTACGTGAGGCATTACGTAGAATGAAAGGGGGTAAAGCAGCTGGAACTAATGGGATCATGACAGAAATGTTAAAAGCAGGGGGGGATATAGTGTTGGAGTGGTTGGTACTTTTGTTTAATAAATGTATGAAAGAGGGGAAGGTACCTAGGGATTGGCGGAGAGCATGTATAGTCCCTTTATATAAAGGGAAGGGGACAAAAGAGATGGTAAAAATTATAGAGGAATAAGTTTACTGAGTATACCAGGAAAAGTATACGGTAGGTTATAATTGAAAGAATTAGAGGCAAGACAGAATGTAGAATTGCGGATGAGCAAGGAGGCTTCAGAGTGGGTAGGGGATGTGTAGATCAAGTGTTTACATTGAAGCATATATGTGAACATTTTAGATAAAGGGAGGGAAGTTTTTATGCATTTATGGATTTTGAAAAGGTATGATAGGGAGCAGGGTAATATTTTAGTGAAGGGATTCAGGGAAACCGTTTTATTTTCATATAGTCCGGACTTGAGTCCTGGAAATGGGAAGTACATCCTGCACTTTAAAGGAGGGGTTTGGGATATTATGGCAGTTGGAGGATATGTTGTGTATCTTTATGTGTGTATGCTTCTAGACTGTTGTATTCTGAGCACCTCTGCAAAAACAGTGAATAAAGTGTGAGTGTGGGAAAGTGTTGAATGATGATGAAAGTATTTCTTTTTGGGGATTTTCTTCTTTTTTTTGGGTCACCCTGCCCGGTGGAGACGGCCGACTTGTTGGAAAAAAAAATATATCAATATATATATATATATGATATTATATATCATATATATATATATATATATTATATATATATTCGATATATATATTTTTTTATTTTATATAAAAATATATATATATATAATATATATTATATATATATAATATATATATATATATATATATATATATATATATATATATATATATATATATATATATAATATATCTATATATATATCAAGTAATTTCTGGTGTCCCAAAACACCTGTGTGTCGTCAAGACCATCAACACATTTACAAGAAAATCTATTAATACACAAAACATGGAAATCATCACTGACATACAGTAATTGGATTACACCTAATTTCAATCTGTCTAATGTATTTTTTGATAGAATTCCACTGGGTATTATGAAATTGTTTATGTAATTTAGAATGAATAAAGGCATTTTGGCTGCCAGTTTCAACTAATTGCTAGTTGTGGAAGCTGCTGTAGAACAACAGTCCAGGTTTTCATTTTTGCTTATGCAAGTTAGGCAGTGTTATGCATGATGCAATATGTGGACCAGTCTGGTCAGATTTTTTTTTCCAAGGCATGAAGAGATTGTACGAGACCCAAACATTTGTACTGAGGATAAAAATACAGTGGAACCTCGACTTATGAGTTTAATCTGTTCTGTGACCTAGCTTGTAGCTCAATTTGCTCATATATCAAATCAATTTTCCTCATTTGAATTAACTGAAATGCCTTTAATCCGTTCCAGAGACTTCCTGCTCTCGGAAGGCAGGACAAAATACTTCAATATAATGCTAATATCAACACTATGCCTTATTTATCTATCACAATTGATCTAATATGACATAATCAACAATATAAATAACGGTGGAAATAAATGGTATAAAATACCGACACAATGATATAAACACAATGCAGTATAATGTTGATCCTTTATTGACTTACGTTTCGCCCACACAGTGGGCTTTTTCAAGTCACAAACAGAACTACCTGGGGTGGAAGGAACGCGAGTATTTATAGTCCGGTTCAGAATGCTGAGGTCAGGTGAAGAATGCTGCATCTGATGATGTACCGAGTGGGGTTATAGAGTCTAAAAAACTTGGGTAGCTTTGGAAAGAGATGATAAGTTGTGAGCAGACCTTCTACAGTGTTCTTATGTGGGATAAGCGATGAAGAATTTCTTGGCAAGTGTGTTCAGCTTAAGTTTATGAGAAGCCACTATTCCGGTTGAAGTTGTCGGATAAAGAATCAGTGATGATTCCAGGATTCTTCGGGTATAGATGTTGTCTCTGTGGCGATACTCTTGAGTTTCTGTAGTTTATCAAGTGTTGTGTGAATTTCGGTTTGTACGCAGGCATTCCCCTTGTGTCGTCAAACCTTCTTGCTATTGGTGTTCTGAAACACGTGTTTTCGGAGTCCCTTGATGTTTTCGCCCACGAATAACTTGTTGCAGTCATTACAAGGATTATGTATACCCCTGCAGAGGATGGAGGGCTTGTCCTGTCTACTACTGTGATGTCCTTGATGGTCATGGTTGTGGAGGTAATACTTGAATGATGATTTGGCAAAGATGTTGGAAACATGTTTGGACATGGAGTTGGTGGGAAGACTATGCATCTCTTCCGGCAGTGTCTTTCTCTGGGTGTGTTTGAAGATGTTAATGCCGCCATTTTGGTCTGCAGTCTCTTGATGAAATGACGAGGATAGTGGAGTTTAGAAAATATTGTTCAATTAAAGTGCATTCTTCCCTCAAGGACTCGTTGCCTGCAGATTCTAGAATGCACGAAGAAGAAGCCTATAATACACCACGTTTGTTTTGGTGTCGTGGTGAAGAGTAGAAGTGGAGAATATCGTTTTTGGTTAGGTGGTTTACGATAGACTTTAAAAAAAACAAAAGGTGTTCGTGGTCAGCTTTGCAGAGCAGGACATCAAGAAAGAAGAGTGTTGTTGACTTCTTCTTTCAAGTGTGAACTGGATTGAAGGCTCGACCTGGTTGAGCTTGGTCCTTGGAGAGTTTGAAGCGTTGCGCGTTTAGGAGATATGATGAAATACGTCAACATAACGGAGCCAGGTGACAGAACGAAGAATAATGGTGAGAACGTCGGCTTTTAAAGTCTATCGAAAACCCACCAAACCAAAACGATCTTCTCCACTTCTACTACTACCACGACACCAAAACCAAACGTGTGTAATTATAGGCTTCTTCCTGCGTGCACTTCAGAATCAGCAGCAAGACGAGTTTCCTTGTGGAAAATGCACTATAATTGAACAACTATTTTCTAAACTCCCCCTATCCCACGTCATTTCATCAGAGACTGCAGACGGCGGGCATTAAACATCTTCAACACACCAGAGAGACCCTGCCGAGAAGAGATGCATAGTCCGACCCACCAACTCCATTGCCAAACATGTTTCCAACATCTTTGCCAAAACATCCATTCCAAGATCTACCTCCACAACCACGACACAATCAAGGACATCACCAGTAGTAGACAGGACAAGCCTCCATCTCAGCGGGTATACATAATCCCTTGTAATACTGCAACAAGTAAACGTGGCGGAAACATCAAGGACCTCCAAACACTGTTTCAGAACACAATAACGCAATCAGGTCTGACGACACAAGTAATGCCTGCGTACAACAACCCGTAATTCCACACACCACTTGATAACTACAGAACTCAAGACTTATCGCCACAAGAAGACAACACTCAATACCGAAGAATCCTGGAATCATGCACTTATTTCTATCTCCGACACTACACCAAATAGTGGCTTCTATAACATAGCTGAACCACTTGCCAAGAAACTTCTCATCGCTAATCACATAAGAACACTGTAGAAGGTCTGCTCACAAACTTATCAATCTCCTTTCCAGCTACCCAAGTTTTTAGACTCTATAACCCCACTCGGTACATCACAGATCGCATTCTCACCTACCTCATCCTCCATCCTGCGCATTTCTGAACCGGACTATAAATACTCGCGTACTTCACCCTAGGTAGTTCTGTTTGTGACTTGAAAAAGCCCACTGTGTGCGAAACGGTAGTCAATAAAGGATCACATTATACTGCATTTGTGTTATATTTCCATATATAAAAAACATAGCAACTTGATATATTTACTCTAGAATGTGCAAACAACCACCTGAAGAATAGAGAAATCCACGCGCTTTCGTGACTACCACATTATCAAGGAACTAGAATTAATAAATATGTCACTATTTGATGAGTGTGGAGGCCATTGCCACTGCCACACTGACAATATCTCCCCTCTGAAAACATTGCTTTTGAATGCTAACTGCATAGATCACTAGTTCATAAGAAAAACTGAAACAAAATGTAATTATAAATAAGAAATATTGCTAAAACATATAGAAAAAGTAAAGGCTACATGGTTTTTATCAATCGTACTATGCCTGCGGAGGTGTTAGGGTGGAAGATAGCTAACTTGCTACACTCTTAATGCTACACTTTATCGCAGAACTTAATTGCTACACTCTAATGCAAGGCAGTACCAGCATAAGCAGAAGTACGATACTACACTCTTACTTGCCTTCGCAAACAACCCGTACACCTCACACCTCGCTCATTTTTATCTATGATTTTTTATGCTATAATCCATGACATCATCCTCTTTTTTTCTCAGCACTGTCTTTTGCAGCTTACTTTCTTAAGACCCATGGTTAGAAAAAAGAAATTTTGGCAACTACCAAAATGCAAAGCAAAACTAGAGAGAAATGCTTCCATGGCAAATATAAAAAACAGTGCACTGCACAGTTTGCAGCATTGAGAGTCTCTTGAGATAGGGAACTGAATCAGTGCTCTAGTTCCCTAATAATAATATACCAATAACAAATAATATGAGAGATTTCAGAATGAGCCGCCGAACTGCGAAGGGAAACTGTTTTACCCTCACTGGTGGAAGCATTACTCCGTTGTGTTTTGCTTGCATTTTGGTTCAGTTATTTTGCCAGATTTTTTTTCTAACCACGGGTCCTAAGAAAAGTAAGTGCAAAGACATGCTGAGAAGATAAAATGGATGATGTTCATGGAATTAAAACAAGAAATCATAGATGAACACAAGCCAGGTGTGAGGGTTGAGGTGGAAGCTCACTCATACCTTGGATTTTGGCTTGTACTCAAGCAAAAAAACTGACCAGCGACAGCTTGTATCTCGAAAACTCCTATGTTGGCGCACTCGCAAGCTGAGGTTCCATTGTACTGGCAGGTGGCATATTGAAGGCACAAAAAATTGGATGCGATAATTAGAATTTATTATGTCCGGATAGTCATCACTTGCATTACATACATTGGACCCAGTTAAAAGGTTAATATATAAATATGAAATTCAAATGTCAAAGTAAAAATATAGCAGCAGACAGTATTTTATGAATCAAAATGAGGCACTCATGTACAACTGCTACACTTATGTACAGAGGAAAGCATGAAACCTGTTGTTTTCCTTTTATACACAAAAGTTTACATCTCTCCTCAGGCGAGAGTCTTCATCCTCCGCTCTCTTCTCAACTCCATGGTACAATTAATGCTTTGGGAAGCTCATTGCCTCCCACTTATCCTGGAATACAAAGAGCCAGCTACTATTTAGTACATTCATGAACTAAGGGGAAGAGCAAGAAAGGGAGGTTTTAAGAGAGTGCATGGTAAAAGATGCCAGCACAGACTCCTTCAGCGAGACAACCAAGTACGTTATAGCCAAAAAAACCATACCCCCGGCCGGGATTGAACCCGCGGTCATAGAGGTCTCAAACACCAGCCCGTCGCGTTAGCCACTAGACCAGCTAGCCACCAATAAGATTCATCAACTAGGTATATTTCTACACCATAGGAAAGTTAGCACGGCACCTCTGTGACCACAAATGCAAGTTTGTTACAGACGAAACTCCAGCTAGCGTGGCCGGACGAACTCTACTCAAGTCCCTTCACTGCGTCAACATGACTCAAGAAATCGTAATGACAACGATTGCAAATAACCATACCCCCGCCGGGATTGAACCCGCGGTCATAGTCTCAAAACTCCTGCCGTGCGGGCATGGCGGGGGTATGTTTATTTGAATCGTGTCATTACGAATTCTTGAGTCATGTTGACGGCAGTGAATGGACTTTGAGCAGAGTTTCATCACGGCCACGCTAGCTGGAGATTCGTCAGAAAAAACGTGCATTGGTTGGTCACAGAGGTGCCTGTGCTATCTTTCTCCTATCGGTGTAGAAATATACCAATTGGATGAAATCGTATTGTGGCAGCTGGTCTAGTGGCTAACGCGACGGGCTGGAGTTTGAGACTATGACCGCGGTTAAATCTGGGCCCGGCCGGGGCTATTGTTTATTTGCCAATCGTGTCATTACAGATTTCTTGAATCAAGTATAGCCAAGACTGCATACTACAGGAAACTCCTATCTTTAGTTACATACTAGTGAGTGCACAAGGGCACCTGATTTAAAAAAGCTTTCCTCAGACTACCACTGAGTTAACCTAAATGAAATGCATTTTTTGCACAATGTTGTTCAAATCTACTATGATGTCAAAAAAGTATGAATTGATGAAGTCACTATGTAACAAGAAGGTTTTTTTCTAATAAAATACCAATAACCAACATAACTGTGCTACATCTCATTTTCAGTGCACATCATCACTTCAAACATATCAGGCTGACAGTGTTTAGTGGAAAGACCGCACCACCACAAGCTTTTGCCAAAGCAAAGTCAGAATTAGCAGAGAAACATGCACCTACATCTCCACTCTCTCCAAATATTACCTATGTTGATAACGTTATTGATAACAGAAGCAGCAGTGGCAGATGACTTGCCCATTTATTAATAGCTGCACAAAGGAACTGCAAATCATTGGAGCATGCACTCTTGTTCATGAGCCTTGTGAAAAGAGCTAAAAAATAAAGATTTCAGGCTAAGTTGTTCTGATTTATGTCAACTGGCTTTTTTGTCACATTGTATGACGATCTATGCTTGCTTAAAAAAAATAATCTGTTATTATTTAAAACCTCCTTAACCCGTTGCTAAATATGAAAATGCATGAAATACTTAATTTTGCGGGCCAAAAGAGCAGCATCAATACCATCATGTTCATATCCTCCTGATCCACCATCCACATAATGCGCAATGGTGTTTTAGGCTCCTCTATCTTCGATGTGTCCAAGTCTTTTGTCCTTTGGGATGCAGGGTGGCTAGAATATTCATCTCGTCCCATTTTGTCCCTTTCCTATGCAAATTAAAATTAAAAGCAATTAGCAATTTAAAACTCATTTCGATTTACTGCATCATGTGAAGTAATAAATGCTGCATTCACTATATATAACAAAAATCCCTTACTACATTTATCAATGCCACCGAGAAAAAGTGTACAATTTCGAGCCATTCAAATAAATTAACTAACCACCACTATACAAATAATCAAGGCAGCATATTAATATATAAAAAAGGAGCTATTTATCATTTAAATCCCCATATACAGCTGGTACAAAACCAATCATACTTTCTGTAAAAGGTTTGTTCAAACTCAAAGCAATAGTGACCCTTTCAGGGGAAGCTTGCATAAAAAGTACTATATCAAGATACCTACCAAGTAAGTAAAATAAGACACATGACTTTTTAAAAACGATGACAAAGCTCCCCAGCGTCTCTTTTTTTTTACAAGGTTAGCTGCAAAATAGGAGTCATGACTTTTTCCTACATCTGTACTAATCAAATTCAGTACCACAAGGCAGCAATGTGCAATGTGTATAAAGATGTACATGAAATTTGTGTCCAACATTTTATTTGTTAAGAGTAATTAAATTGATTTAAGCGATATCAAAATATATTTTTACTTTTGTACATTGTTATCTATGTCAAAAGGTGAAATTATTACATGTTCCACAGAGAATATTCATTTGAAACTTTGATTCAACTTAAGCAAGTGTTTTCTCAGTGGAACTTTTCTGGCTAGTAATGTGTCAGATTACTTTTTTTCAGTTTTGGCTCCTGCAGGCAAGGAGGTGGGGTTCTGGAATGACAGTTCAATAAGACATTGTGCATTAGCCACATAAAAATGTTCCAGATCTTGCCGCATATGAACGATGTTCCTTTTGTAACTCACTGATCAATCAGAGTTTTTAAAGTGGTGTTTATCACAGTCAATGAAGGGGGACTTCAGTTTGCCCACTCCCAAAAAGCTGTCCCTGTGATGCAAGAAACATGTCTAAAACTACTTATCATATTGCAATCTAATGTTCCTTCCAAATGATTGAATGCTAATTTTTGATCAAGCATTTTTTTTTTTTTTTGGAGTGGAGAAAGTTCACCCTGTAGTATTCAGTGTGTGTCTGACTATTTCATTTAAGGGAGACTTCTTTGTGTCAAGTTTATAATGATTTTTGGGGGGGGGTTGGATAAACCACACTTTTTTGAAATGAAATAACTGCTAGCCTACTAATGTTTTGTTGGCCCCCTCTGATGCATGTGATACCCATGATCATGGATTATGACGAGTGAATCTTTTCAACTGTGGCTTAGGGATACTGCATTGTTGTTCTGCTGAATCAACATCTAGTAGTAGTCAATGCTTCTTGATCTGAGCTATCTCGCTTTGCCTTTACAGCAGGTATCGGCAACCTAGGGACCTGGGCCAGATTGCCCATGATGCAAAAATGCTCCAGCCTCAGTCCCAAAAGAGAAATACAGTGGAACCCCCCATAAACGATTACCTCACGAAATGCGAACCAATTATGTATGTGTATTTATGTAAGTGCGTTTGTACGTGTATGTTTTGGGGGGTCTGAAATGGATACTAACTACTTCACACTATTCCTTATGAATAAATTTTGGTCAGTACTGCACCTGAACATACTTATGAGTGAAAAAATATCGTTAACCGGGTCCACTGTATTACATCAACTTGGCCACAGACTTTTTTTTTTTTTTTGAGACTTTCCCATCATCTGAATTCAAGAACAATGCAGACAGTGAAGCTTGGCAAAACTATGATCACTGTGGTTGGGAGCGACTACTTTTTTTTTTTTTTGTATCAGAGGTGTTTACAAGCCCATATGTAAGCTACGTATGTTTAAAAAAATTAAAACTAGGAAATGCCAAAACAAATAAAAAAAGAAACATTTAGAATACTAATATATTTCATAGACATAACTTTTTCTTAATTAAATATATAAATATAGGTCAAAGTTATTATGTTTATATTATTACCTTTAAATTATTAACTATGGCATGATTGGCCACTATCCTCTCACATAGGGCCTGGCCCTTAGGCAGAACAACACTGGCGACCCCTGCTCTATAGCATTCCTCAGAGTACTCTGATCTGGACCAGTATGTGCGGTTTATGTTAGTGGGCTTAACCTTACTGCTGGATGCCCATGGGATTCATTATGCTTTTATGCTGATATACACAGGTCAATTCATGGTTTTAAATGTGGAAGATGAAAAAATCGCTTTGGTTATCTTTTGCTGTACACTGTATATTCCAGACTTGGATGGCAAATATACTGTAAATTGTAAATTAAATAGGTGTAAGATTGTCAGGAGAAAATCTAAGGGAAGTTCAGATTAAATATTTTGGTGTCTTGATGGCCAGTGTTGAGCTAATTCACTTATTACCCTTTGACTGTCGCGTCATATAATATATACGTCTTAAAGGTACAGTGTTTGACTATTATATACCTTCAAATTCTAGCGCTTCAAATCAAGCAGGAGAAAGCTGGTAGCCCACATGTGAGAGAATGGTCTGTGTGGTCAGTGTGCACCATATAAAAAAATCCTGGAGCATACGCAGTGCATGAGAAAAAAAACTCAGGACCCTTTTTTTTAATTAAAAATCCGACTTTGTGGTCCTTATTTTCGTATAGTCTTTATGGTTGTATTCCTTGTTTTTCTGTCTCATTATGATAGAATGGAAAACATATAATAGAAAGAGATGTGATTTGATTGATTTTACAATAAAATACCTGGAAAGGAGTGGATTTTGCGAGTTCAAAAGTCAACAAATATGCCATTGTCCAATAAATGTCCACAAGCCATTCTAATATGCAGTCATGACTGGGTTGATGTTATTATACAATAATTACAGTATTGGAGTAGTCTGCTAACATAAATCCTTCTATGATTTGTTTGACAAAAAATCAAAATAGAAAGCAAGAGTAATATCAGAGGGGGCCGAGACGAGACTGATGAACCAAGAAAATTGTTATTTTATGAGCCGGTATGTCTCATAGTTCATTCTGGCCCTTATTTGAAATTATCATAAGTTTTTAATTTCGTGAATTGGCCAAATTGCAAAGTTCTGATCCATTTTATTGGTAGTTGAAATCGGTAAAATGAGCAGTTTCTTGTACTCAATCGATAGAAAAAATGGAGTTCTAAAGAAGTAGCTAGTGAGTTTTGTTGACTGGAACAATGGAATTAGCCGAAAATACAGGGCTCAAAGTGAGCGAATCGCCATTTGTAATATCTGCCGAGGTCGCTAACTTCGCAAGCTAATTCCGTCAGTTTTCCATCTAATTTCGTGTTTTGGGCTCATTACAATCGGGAAAAAGATTCTCTATCATTCATAATTTTTTTTTTTTTTTTTTAAATTTTGCGACACCAGGAGACACCTCAGGAATGTGGATTGCCGACAGTCAAAGGGTTAAATTGGTGTTCATTATTCCCAACAGAAATGTTTTGACTATGCCTTCAACTGTGCACCTAAGTTGCTAATGGCTGAAACATCGGAGTAAGTTAGCCTATACAGATCAAATGGTGTTAAGGCACTGTCATGTGCAGCCAGTGGGATCTAGGAGTCCTACCTGGCTTCTTAACTATCCAATTTGTTGGACCATAACCAGACTGTTTAAATCCATGCAATTTTCATATTCCATAATCTGTATGCAGTCAGAAAATAACCTTGAAAAGCAGAGTATGTTGTTTTTTAACCATGTACGTTATTTGCTTCCTTCAAATGATTTTTACAAGTGCCCCATGGCTGGTGGCTAAAGCTCTCGCTTCACACGTTCAAGGTCCAGGTTTCTACACAAGTTGTCTATGTCCCCATCAGTAAAATGGAAACTGGGTATTAGTCCAACTGGTGTGGGTCACATCCTTAGGACAAAACTGACCTAATTTGCCCGAATGCTCTCATAAAAAGTGTCATTGATGTCAGCAAGGCCTGTATATCTTGTACATGTACATGTTGAAAATAGATGTCTTTTTTTTATTCTTAACACATCGGCCGATTTCCACCAAGGCCAGGGAGGCCCCGAAAAAGAAAAACTACATCATCATTCACTATCACTGTCTTGCCAGAGGGGTTTTACACTACAGTTATTAAAACTGCAACTTAACACCCCTCCTTCAGATGCAGGCACTGTACTTCCCATCTCCAGGACTCCAGGCTCGCCTGCCGGTAATCCTAATCCCTTCATAAAATGTTACACCAAATTCATCCCCAATCTCTGCAACTTCTCTTCAGATCTCCCAAGAGCCCAGTGTCATCAGCAAAGAGCAGACGTGACAACTCCCACTTTGTGGTGATTCTTTCTCTTTTAACTCCACGCCTCTTTCCAAGACCCACGCTTTACTTCTCGTACAACCCCATCTATAAATATATTAAACAACTCACGTGAACCATCACACACCTTGTCTAAGGCCTACTTTACTGGAAAAATTTCCTCTTTCCTACATACTCTAACATGAGCCGCACTTAATAAAATCCTCGTAAAAACCCTCTTCACTGCTCAGTAACCTACATCCTACAACCATACCCTGCAATCTTCTGCCGCAATGCCCCCCTATCCACCCTGTCATACGCCTTTTCCAAAGCCATAAAATGCCACAAAGACCTCGTTAGAAGCCTTATCTAAATACGGTTCACTTATATGTTTTCACTGTAAACACCTGGTCCACACACCCCTACCTTTCCTAAAGCACCTTGTTCATCTGCTATCCTATTCTCCGTCTTACTCCTTAATCTTTCATTAATAACTCTACCATACACTTTACCAGGTATATCAACAGACTTATCCCCCTATATTTTTGGGCACTCTCTTTTATCAACCTTTGCCTTATACAAAGACTATGCATGCTCTTCTGCCAATCCCTATGGTACCTACCCTCTTCCATACATTTATTAAATTTAATGCACCAACCACTCCAAAACTAATCCCCACCTGCTTTTAACTATTTCTCCTACCTTTTAGCCATCAATCCTGCTGCGCCTAACCCCCTTTCATT